TATCGCATGGGATATACTAATGCTAAAGATTACTCACTGTTACTCTAAAATTCAAATTTAACTGCATGTCTTGTATTTTATCTGGCAATCCTAGTTTGGAGGTTAAATGGAAGGGATTAAAAAAAACTAGCAAAGACATGTATTCACAACTGGAAGAAGAGAAATTTCCATTCCTATCCTCATGAATGCTTTTTGTCTAGGTATAACTCTCCATGGCATTGGTTTATTTTTGACCCATCAAGTTTTACTAACAGACCCACAGAGCATACCACAGCCTGATACTGAAGAAGTCCATAAGGTTTCAGCTTTGGATCACCCAAGTCCGGAATTTACAAAGTGGGTCCCCTCAGACAACATGGGATCTCAGCCCAGCCACAAAACCATACAAATACTCAAGTTTCAATTGATCATTCTCCTTCAAAATTTGTACATCAAGTTTAATATTTTCAAAGGCACTGAATGAATTTTCCCTCTGTGGTTCCCACTCTGAGGCAATTTAGCATGGTTAGTAACAGTGATTATTAGGAAAAACAATATAATTCAATTATACTTCAAAATGCAATTAAATGATCACTTCTTGGACATTTTGAAAGGGAAGATGAAAGTACTGATATGGTCCAGACATTTAAAGATAAGATAAAGATCTTAACTACATTAATTATTAATTCAATTGCATTTTCCAACATCTAAGTACACCCAGGGGTGACACATAATTCAGAAATGGTGTTCTCTTGTTCAAAGACATATTAATATTCAGTATTTTGAAAATATGTTGAACTCTACTAGCCAGAATAGAGATTGTATAGAAGTATAGTTAAAAGCATGGGCTCAGGAATCAGAGTGAGTTCAAATCCCAGCTGTCACACACTAGCTGTGTGATGCTGGGCAAGTTACTTACCCTCTCTGTGCATCATTTCCCTTATCTGTAAATGGGGATAACCATTCCAGAGAGCTGTGAGAATGATATGAGTAAGATGCTTAGAATAGTTCCTAGCACATAGTAAAGGGCTCAGTAAATTTTTGGGGTGAGGATTATAGCTAAAACTGTCAAGAGGAAAACAAAACTCACAAAATCAGAGATTGGCTTCATTTTTGCAACTGGCCCAGGAGAAAAATGATTTTTTCCCCCTGTGGCCAAATGGATAATATATTTATATTTTTCAAAATAAAAAATAACACCATTTTGTGTACTTATCCATTAAAAAATCTTTTTGTTTTCACAGTATACAACTTTTTGGGTTGTGTGAAATTAGCATCTAATTGTTTTAATAAGTGAAGCTGTATGGTTAACAGTTCTACCGAACTATTGGTTGCTTTTCTTGTCTCATCCTGATTATTATTCTCTTTACTCTCCCAAACTCCAAAAGCAAATGAATAGCACTTTTTCCTCCATTCCTAAAAGCCAATTAATCTAACTCAATCTTCTAGGCTTTAGTGTTAAGCAGACTTTCAAATGAAACAGTCCCCAGTCACTGGGTTTCCTGCCATCTGGTCACTTTGAACTTCATTTGCTTGTGTTTTGAACCAGGAATGGAGTCCAGCAGTGCTAGGTCTACGCTACAACGCAGCTCAGGTGTGGGCAGTTGGAGGCAGTGTTAAAGAAAGACTGCTTTCAAGTCAGACACCTCTAGGGTAACGTCCTGGCTTGGCCACGCTACCTGTGTGAGCTCCCTGAGACTCGCTTTCTATAATTATCTATAAAAAGATTCTGGGGGCACCTGGGGGGCTCAGTCGGTTAAGTGTCTAACTTGGGCTCAGGTCATGATCTCATGGTTCATGAGTTTGAGCCCCATGTCTGGCTATCTGCTGTCAGCACAGAGCCCGCTTAGGATCCTCTGTCCCCCTCTCTCTCTGCCCCTCCCCTGCTCACACGTGCATCCATGTGCTCTCTTACTTTCAAAAACAATAATAAGTAAACTTTAAAAAAAGAGAGAGCTAATACTGTCTACTTTTTTGAGTTGCTATGAAGATTCAAAGAGTTGATTTACCTATAGGGTGATCCTATGTTTCAGTTTATACATGTCTTCCCTGTGTAACTGTGATATTATATAGTTATCCTATTTTTATAAGGCATTTAGCACAACAGCCTGGAATACAGTCACTATTCAGTATTTGTTACCTCTCAATCATGACATACCAACACCTTTACTATTCTAAAGCTTTAAATCTCACCAAGTCTTCATTTTAAAAGCAGGAATGGCCTTTTTAACATAGAAAGATGAGTGTGTGCATATATGTGAACGTTTGGTCACCTGCCCTTTGTCCCTGCATTTCCTGTGTCTTTGTGTATTTCAGCTATTTAAGAAGCTAGAAGTGGGGGTGGAATTCTCTGTGGTAGAACCTTGAGGGCAGAGGCTTAAATATTTTACATGCTTTGGTAGGATCATGCGACTGTTGCTTTGGCAAAATCTACTCTGCCAACAGAAGGCCCTGTGAGGTGAGCAGGTGGGCCGGGGCTGGGAATCCGTCCTTTTACTTCTGCCAGCTATTTGGATGGTCAGATGAATTCCAGACTCCAGCCTTTGCTATTTCCAAGCTCTCCATCACTTGTGCAGGAACACCACCCTTTCCACATCATGTAGAACCAGCCAGGCTTCCTCCCATGGCCTCCTCCCCAGCTCTTTGGGATACAGTCTTCTTGATGATATGGAGGGAGAGCAGACATTGAGGGCTTTTAGGGAAATACCAGCCCTCTATACAGAAAACAGGATTTCTCCCTTAAAAATCACTTCTGCTTCATGTGCCCTCTGCACTAGGCCGCAAACTGAAGGTGGTTCCTGCAAGTGCTTCTGGAGCTGGCCAACCCTGCTGAAATCTAGGCCACTGCCAGCTGCAGAACCTCCCTGAGCCAACTCGCCAACACTGAGACCTTGGTTTTCTGTTTTATAATATAGGATGTAATAATGTACTAATACACTTCATCGGATTACTTTAGAATTAAGACAACATGTCCAGTAAAGTGTCTGGCACAAAATAGGCATTTGATGCTTGGAAAGTATCATAATGGTACCAGGCTGCCTGGGAAGGGATCAGCATTAGAGGCAAAGAGAATCTGCAATCTGGGGGCAGTGGTGTGGGGAGGGAGAATTCAGTTTGTAAGTATGTAAGCTCTGCATTTTGGAGGTTTACATCCTGATTAAAATCTGTAGAAGAGAAAGAACAAATCTCACTAGTGGTATTTGGTATTTCTGAACGAAGATATAGAAAATGCACAGCAAATGTATTCCAACCATCCTTTGAGTTACTCTGCATTCATTCACTGATGCATACTAACAATTTTGTATCGCGTAAGTATTATGTTCTAGAGGCTGGGCAAAATTTCAGCATAAGAGTATGCAGAAGCTGTATAAAAGAAAACATTTGGAGGAAGCATAATCAGTCTGTTAATACCAGGCAATATTTATTGATTACCCACTGCAATCAATACATATGGTAATATTTATTGATTTACCACACTCTCCCATGGCCCAAGTTACTCCTCAGAAAAACGATGCCATCTGCTAACACCACACTGAATACAGAGTACCTAAAGTTTATTAATTAACGTCTCTGTGGACTGTAAGAGCTCATTGCAGAGGTGCCAAACTCACTTCCAGAAACTGCATTCACCTTAATTATTAAGTGAAGGAAGCAGTTGCTTATATGATCTGATCAGGGGTCACTGAAAAACTTTCCCTTCTCACATATTGTACACTCCAACTACCTACCCTCTTGAGCCTATGAACGGGTCCTAACATTTTCTGAGTTGTCAGGCCTTTGAGTTCAAGCTTTCCTTGGCCCTCTGGGAATGCTTACAGGTTGTCTGAGGGGAATACTGCAGGGTATAAACTAGTCACATTCTGGTAGTGGGGTCAGAGAGAAAGCCTGCAGCAGAGCTGAGTGGGAAGACTCAATGGATATAAATCTTTGGATGGCCTCTTACAGTCTTTCAGTCTCAGTTTCCTCATCTGTAAAATGAGGAAGGAAGGACTCCCTTTCGAGGTGATGGGGAAGTCTGTGGAGGCTGTTTACATAAGGTGACTGAGCAGGGGCTAGAAATATGGCAGGGCCAGTGTATGTTACTTCCTTCTCCTTCCTCACTCCTTCGGCACAGACTATCTCATTAGTTGGTCGGTAACCTATATTGTGTTATGAGCGTTGGCTGACAAAGGTGAATTTGTGTGGTCTGACTTGTACTTTAAAATATTAAATAAGAATTGAAGATGTCAGAGTAGTCATGGGTAATGTTTTGTGATATCTTTCTTTCAGTATATACACTTTCATAGGATATGATGTAAAATGTACTTCTGACTGTGTAGGTTATGTTCAAAAAGTATGAAGTGAGTACACACCCCAAATAATCAAAAGCAGGAATCTGAAGCAGTATTTGTATACTCCTCTTCATAATTGGCATTATTCACAACAGCTGAAAAGCAGAAGCAACCTAGGTGTCCACTGATGGATGAATGGAAGCACAAAATATATATACACACCATGGAATATTACTTCATTATGTGAATATTACTTCATTATGTATATACACACCATGGAATATTATTTCATTTTATATATATACATACACACACACACACACACACACAATGGAATATCAGTTAGGCATGAAAAGGAAAGAAATTCCTTCTTAAAAAGGAAGGAAAGTCTGACACAGGCTACAATCTGGATGAAACTTGAAGACATGCTAAGTGAAAAAAACCAGACACAAAAGGACAAATACTATATGATTCTACTTATATGAGATCTCTAGAGTAGTCACATTTATAGAAACAGAAAGTGGAGTGGTGATTGCCAGGGACCAGGGGAGGGAGAAATGGGAGTTACTGGCTATGGCAATTTATCAATTCAGTGTATCAGCAGAGCTTCCATTTGGGAAGATCAAAAGAGTTCTGTGGATAGATGGTGGTGACAGTCAAACAATGATGTGAATACACTTAATGCTACTAAATTGTACACTTAAAAATGGTTAAGATGGTAAATTTTATGTTATGTGTATTTTATCACAGGTGCATTTGGATGGGACCTGAACGTAAAAGAAAGAGAAAGCGTGAATCTCTGGGGAACCAAGCAGGGGTCAGGGAACACATTCTCTAGTTGTTCTGAAGAATTCTCTTTTGTGACATCTGGGACCAGAGGCCTTCCAGTCTGGTGTAAGAACATAAAAAAATAAAGTTTGCAATCTTGTTCTGTGATGGCATAATTTCCAACTTGCATTCTTGGGTTCATTTGGAGTTTTAATCTGAGAATACAACGAATATGACAGCAATGTCTAGTTTCTCCCTCAGGTAAAATTGATATACACATCTCTTCTCCTTTAACAAGGTTTTCCAGCTTTGGACTTATTGGTATCTGAGTGTTGGGTCAAGGTTTTCCTTCTTTATTGAATAAACCATACCTTGTGAAGGCCTTCAGCCTAGTGTGATCATCTACATAATGAGGGCACCCAAGGAACCTTGAAGGTTCTTCCTATTATATTTTTTATTCGTAGTGTTTGAGACTTGAAGAAACACAATCTGGCCAATTTTTTTCTAGCAAAGGCTGTACACTAGGTTTCTCATTTTCTCAGTAGACAGAATTCTGGCAAATTACTTAAACAGATACAGAAAGGAAGTCTCTGGGGACAGACACCCCATAGAGTAAAAGAACAGTCACAGTTCATTATTTTGGACATGGATTGCTATGGCCAAAATAAATATCAGGAAGGTTTCAAACTTCTCTTAAACAGACACACACACACACACACACACACACACACGCCCCCAAAAACCCCATCTATCAGTAACAGTTCTCAAATCAACTTTGATCTCTCAACTTCCAGAATCTATTATAGCAATCGGTTTGTATAACCTTATTATTAAATGCACATGTATAAATGATAGATTTCCTTGTGTTTGGCATATAATTGTTTCTCTGCATATTTTCCTCCAAAGTTAAGAAATTTTTAATGAATATGGTCATGGACAGTTTATGTCCCTCCAAAATTTGTATGTTGAAATTCTAACCCCCAAGTGATGGTATTAGGAGGGCCTTTGGGAGGTAATTAGAATTTATGCCCTCATAAGAAGGAATATAACAAATCTTGCTTCCTCTATCTCTCTGCTCTCCTCCATGTGAGGACACAGCAAGAAGATGGCCATCTGCAAACCAGGAAGTGGGCCCTCACCACATGCTGGATCTGCCAGCACCTTGATCCTGGCCTCCAGAATGGTGAGAATTAAATTTCCATTGTTTATAAATCACCCAGTCTATGGTAGTTTGTTATAGCAACCTGAACTGACAAAGGCAAATATTTTTTATTGATATGAGCATATTTTACCTTTCATCTTTATGAATGACTCACAGTGTTGGACATTATATACCTGGAAAGGATCTTGGACATCATCTAGGACCACTTTGTTCTACCAATCAATAACAGTCACATCTCCCAAAACATTTAAAAACAGAAGTCAGTGGTGATTTCTTTAGCCTCCTTCAGGCCATACATTCTTCACAGGGGAGAGGTAAAGTCATGCACTCCTTGCATATGGTCCTATTATCCAAAGGCTTTGGAGAAGAGCTCATTCTGGTTAACATCTCTGGAATAGACTGACTGACAGTAGACTGCATCACCTCAGCTCCATTAGAAGACCTTTTGAAACTTTTTTTTAATTACCCTTAACCTTTTCTTAGTCGCCCCCCCCCCCCCGCCACCTTTTTTAAGGAAAGATTAAAATTCTAACTGAGCCCTGATCATTACCACATGCTGAGACAGGGTTGTTGTCCATCTTTTTTAAGTCATGAATCCTGTAATGATTGCAGTAATAGCTGTTTATTGGATGCTTACTAGGTAATTGGCACTTTCTATATATTAATTTCAACTACTGCACTAACTTTGGAGAAAGAACATTGCATGAGTCACTCTAATTCAAGATAATAATTTCCAAGTCTTTTACTGTACCATGTGCACACCTGATGGGCCATTCATTCTCTTTCTGCTTCATTTGTTTATTTTTTTTCTCCTAGGAGGTGAAGACTTAGTATTTGATCCCATTTCTTTAATTTATAAAGGTAATTTCAAATCTTCATGTAGTCTTTAACATTATAGATGCTTTGTCCAATGAGGGTCATCTACAAATGTAGAAGGGTCCTGTCTAAGGATTCTTTTACAAGCCTATGCTATTGGCCTCTCATTTGAGAGTATATTTGTCAGGGGTTGGCAACTCTGGATTAAGCAAGCACAGTGACCCTGCCAAACTGTGGCCTTCATAATATCTTGGGAATCTCCCCTTGCTTGTGAATCCTAGAACTTTTCTAGTAGAGACGACAATCTGGCAGGGTCTCAGTCTACTCTTCCTCTGTAGGCACTACCTTAATTGTTTGCTTTTCCTGGCTTGGTTATTGTCTCCACAGAAACTTCAGAAGAGCTCTCAGACAGCAGCAGAATGGGACAATGGTTAGGAGCTTGGCTTATAGGGTCTGAATCTTGGGTTTAAATCCTGGCTTTGCCACTTTATGCTATATAAAGCAGAAACCTCAATTTGCCTAAAGAGGGTGTTATTGGATTTTTGCTAAAAATTAGAGGCGATAAAACATGTAAAGTGTTAAGACGAGTATCTGGTCAAGGTAAAAGCTCAAAATAAGTCAATTTTGCTATTTGTTTAATAATTGGGGTAAAATTTATAGACAGTGAAATGCACAGAACTTAAGTGTAAAATTCACTGGAGTTTTGATAACTGTATATCCTTGTTACACAGCCCAAATTAAGATATAGAACCTTTCCATTACTTCAGAAGTTTCATCATGACCCCTTCCAGTCATTCCCCAGCCCCTCCTAACAACCACCAGCAAAGAATGAGAGTTCTTATTACTCCATATCCCAACCAGCATCTGGTCTGGTTAGTGTTCTGGGTTTGGGCTATTCTAATAGTGGTATCTCATTGTTTTAATTTGTATTTCCTGATGACATATGGTGTAAGAGCATGTTTTCATCTTTCATCTTTTTATGTCCCATTTAAAAAATATTTATTTACTTATTTTCAGAGAGAGAGAGAGGCAGACACAAAGAGAGAGAGAATCCCAAGCAGGCTCCATACTCAGCCTGAAGCCTGACACGGTTGATCTCACAACTGTAAGATCATGACCCGAGCTGACATCAAGAGTCAGACATTCAAACGACTGAGCCACCCAGGCATCCCTGGCCCATTTTTTTTTTTAAATTTTTTTTTCAACATTTATTTATTTTTTGGGACAGAGAGAGACAGAGCATGAACGGGGGAGGGGCAGAGAGAGAGGGAGACACAGAATCGGAAACAGGCTCCAGGCTCTGAGCCATCAGCCCAGAGCCTGACGCGGGGCTTGAACTCACGGACCGCGAGATCGTGACCTGGCTGAAGTCGGACGCTCAACCGACTGCGCCACCCAGGTGCCCCCCTGGCCCATTTTTAAATTGGGTTGTTTTCTTATTGTTGAGTTTTAAAAATTCTTTATATATTTTGGGTACCAGTCCTTTATCAGATGTGTCTTTTATAAGCATTTTCTCCCAGTCTTATCCACTTGACATTGACTTGTCTTCTTATTCTCATCTTCTCATTCTTTTCATATTGTTTTTCAGGGACCAGGCATTTTTAATTTCAATGAAGTCCAGTTTATCAATTATTGTTTTAATGGATTGTGCCTTTGGTGGTGTATCTAAAAAAATTGTCACCATACCCAAGGTCATCTAGGTTTTCTCCTATATTACCTTCTAGGAGTTTTATAGTTTTGTGGTTTATATTTAGGTCTGTAACCCATTTAGAGTTAATTTTTGTGAGGGGCTGTCTAGATTCACTTTTTTCTATGTGGATATCCAGCTGTTCCAGCACCATTGTTGAAAAGACTTTGCTCCATTGTACTGTCTTTGCTCCTTTGTCAAAGATCAGTTGACTATATTTATGTGGGTCTATGTTGTTCCATTGATCTATTTCTCTCTTCTTTTGCCAATACCACACTGTCTTGATTACTGTAGCTTTATAGTAATTCTTGGAGTGGGCAGTTTAAGTCCTCCAACTTTGTTCTTCTCCTCCTGCATTGGCTCTTCTGGGTCTTCTGCCTCTCCATATAAACATTAGGATCAGTTTGTTGATACCCACAAAATAACTTGCTACAATTTTGATTGGGATTACATTGAATCTACAGATCCAGTTGGGAAGTTTGTTGACTTTTGATTAGAAGTACTTAATTGTGTGAATATACCACAATTATTTATCCATTCACCAGCTGATGGATATTGTGGTTGTTTCCAGTTTTTGACTACCATGAATAAAGCCACTAAAATGTACAAATATTTTAAAGAATACATGTTTTCCATTTTTCCTGCATGAGTGCCTACAAATAGAATTGCTGGGTCATACAATAAGTATGTGTTTAATTGCTGGGTCATGCAATAAATGTGTATAAGAAATAGCCACATGGTTTTCAAAAATGATTATGCCATTTTACTTTTCCACCAGCAATGCATGAGACTTCCAACTGCTCCATATCTTTGCCACTATTTGGTGTTATCAGTCTTTTAAATTTTAGCCATTCTAGCAGTTGTGTAGTGGTATCTCATTGTGGCTTTAATTTGTATTTCCCTGAAGATGAGTGTTATTGAAATGACATCTTTTAAGTCATTAAAATGAAATGCATCTTTTAGCTGCTTATTAGCCATCTGTGTATCTTCTTCTGTCTGTTCGAGGAGGTTGCCCATTTAAAACATCTGTTTCCTCATCATTTTGTTATTGAATTGTTGCAGTTCCTTATATATTCTGGATACAAATTATTTGTCAGATATATGTATTGCAAATATATTCTCCCAGTTTGTGCCTTGCCTTGTCATTTTGATGAGAATATATTTTTAATTTTGATGAAGTCCAGTTCATCAGGATTTTCTTTTATATCATATGTTTTTTGTGACCTCTGTGAGACATCTTTGCCTATCCCAGCATGTGAAGATACTCTCCTATGTTTTGCTCTAGAAGCTTTATAGCTTCAGCCTTTATATTGAAGTTTATGATCCATCTCAATTTTATATGGTGTGAGATTCATATTTTTTCCCCAGCAGTTGTTCCAATAGTATTTGTTGCAAGTATTTGGCTTTTCCTACTGAACTGCTTGGTGATTCTGTAAAAAATCAATAGACCATATAGGTATGGGTCTACTTGAGACTGTATTTTGCTCTATTGATTTGTCTGTC